TGTGTGTGCATGTGTGTGTTTGTGCGTGAAAACTCAACAGAACAGTCCGAGCCACCAGGTAAAGGTCTCCTATTCCATACTCCATGTGAAGGTTGACAAGGGAAAGAGAGGGGAAGGTGGAGGGGAGGAGTGGGAGCAGAAAGTGTTGTATATCGAATTGAATGTGTCACAGAAGTGATTGCCACTCATGTTAACAAGTGCAACTGCCTCATTTCAAACAAAAATACAGTTTTCTGTGTTTACCCGTAGCAACGTGGCCTAGGATGGAAGTGTCAGTGGGTCGACAGATCTTTCAGACTGACATATCTCAACTGTTGGATGTATAGCCATGAATCTCTGTACACACATTCATGGTCCACAGACGATACATCCTATTGACTTTGGTCATCTTTTGACTTTTCACATATTTGGTCTCGACAACTGTTGTCCATAACATTTGGTTTAGGCATGCCTCAAAATTAATTGTAATCACTTTGGCAATGCTTAAACCTTTAATCTAGCGCCATCATCAGGTCTTATAATCTCTTCCCATTCTTGGTCTATGACCAAATACCTGCAAAACTAATGACATTCCCATCAGCTCTGTACTTTGTGTTTTGTGCTAATCAGCAAATGTTAGCATGCTAACATGCTAAATTAAGACAGAAAACATGGTTACTATTATACGTGCAAAACATGAACATCTTAATATTGTGAGCATTTTAGAATGGTGAAATTAGCATTTAGCCCCTAGCAAAGCTGTAGTACAGCCTCATAGCGCTGGGTTTATACACAGAGGAGAAGGGGTAAAACTTGTAATAGCAGTCATGACTCATCGAATCAGTATCCACAGTTAAACCCCTCCATTTCTACATCCTTATTTCATAGAGCATAGTGCACACAGAAAATTAGCAATATAGTGCAATGCCTATGCTCCTCTAAAAATTGTTTAAAAGCTCATGCTGGTATGATTCATCATGCTTTATGTATCGGGAGAGAAAGCAGGTCCTCTAGGCCATAACACCTCATTTCATATTTCTCCCCTTAACCAATCTATTTACAGTACATGAATTTAAATAAGCGTCGCTAATCTCCTTTCAACAACAAAAAAGTGAAACGCTTTTCAACTGTGCCGTTCTTTGACGCAAGCTGAGCTGATTAAGAATTAAGGTTAATTAGGCCTTTTTGAAGGCAAAATAGATATTAGCGGAATGACAGAACATTTAGGGCTATGTACAGTGCCTCATTTACAGTACTAATTTGTCCCTGCGGCTGAAAGTACATGATCACTATTTAATCGATCATTAGCACTAATTCCTGAGGAGGATGCATGCCATTACATGAGTGGAGACATTAAGAGCGCAGAATTGAACTCATTTAGAGAAAGAGAGAAGGGGGATGAACAAGCAGAAATGCGAGACAGAAAGACCTTAAGTGATGAACAAGATGACTGAGGAGATGAAGGAGCGAATGATGAATGTATAGAGCTAGAGGATAACAAAACGACAGAAAATGTATTCTCCTACATAATTGCAGTCTGTAAGAAGGAGATAAGATAATATTGTTTGTTTGCTTGCTTGCTTGTCTGCCCATTCTTCTACTCTGCTACGTCTCTCTGTCCAAGTAGCCCACTTGTTTATGCCTTAACATCCTGCCCGGCCAGTGCTGACCACACCCAGTGTCCAGAGACAGGGAGAGAGAGAGCTTTCACAGCTTATTAAGATGGAGTTATGTACCCTATGCAGAGGAGGTCCAGAGTGCAGACAAATATAGGAATTTATCCTATATGTTTCAAATATTGAGGACATTGCAAAAAAAAACACTACACCATGCCAGACAACACAATACTTACAGTTATAGTTAGAAGTTTAAGTCAATAACTACATATTTTGTCCCAAAACAGTTAGTATGAATTTCCTTGCAAGCGTAATCATTCTAATGGTGTTATTTAAATACTTCTGATCTTCTTGGTCGCACTCTATGCTGAGGTCTGTCAAGTTGGCACAAAGATACTGCCGAGTCAGACCAAGAAGAAAGGAAAAATCACATTTCAGATGATATAAAGCATAGAAAAAAATAAATCTCTGTTTTCATTTAGACTCTCTACTCCATATTTTCCTCATTAAAGTTATTAAATGCTGTGAAACATGTGAAGTAGATCTAGTACCCTCTTCACTGGTAATAAAAAAGACAGATTAGAGTCTTTGTGTGAAGTGTGCTGACACTTTACTGCCTGATTGCTTGAACGACAATTAATGACTTTCTGGGATCTCACCTCAGGTCAGCACCTTATCTAACACAAACTTACGGAGAAAGTGTGTGTGTGTGTGTATTTTGGTCAATGTCAATTCCAGATGTTTCTATTTATGAGCAGATATAGCATCAGTAAAAGCTGGAATAGCCATAAAACATAATCTTCCATTGTTCCATATGCTATGTTTATGTGTCTAAGTTTGGCGCCTGTGAGGGGGCTTACTGTTGGCACACACTCACACACACATTCTCTATTAGATACCTGTGTTGGCATTAGTCAATAATATATGTCAGTATGTTCAATATATCATAATAAAATGAACTTGCTGAACCTTTAATGCATTTTATTCTACCTGTCAACATCACTTGCTACAAGCTGCACTGGTCCACTGGCCCGTCTGAAGCCGGAGAGAGCAAATACTTTCATCTACTGTAAAATAATCAAACCAAGCCCACTCGATTGTGATTAGTTTTGCTTGGCTTGGCAGCCATCCCAAGATTGTATAAAAGCCTTCCAAAGAGCTTGAAGAAATATCAAGTAGTGTTTGACCTGCCCGT